GCTTTCACAACAATGCTATGAAGATGGCTGATAATCTAATGAATCAAGATCAGTCAATCGCTCGTGCTTTTTATAAGCAGAATGAAGCAGCAAAAAATGAATACAAGATCAGATTGAATGCTTCAATTGATGCTTGTAGATATTTATTATGGCAAGGATTACCTTTTCGAGGACATGATGAGTCAATGGAATCAGCCAACAGGGGAAATTTTGTTGAGCTTGTGAAATATACTGCAAATCAGAATGAGCTTGTAAGTAAGGTTGTGTTGGAGAATTCTCCTAAGAACAATCAAATGGTGTCTCACAAAATTCAGAAAGACCTAGCATATTGTTTTGCTGAGGAAGTTATTCAATCTATTATTCAAGAGCTTGATCATGATATATTTTGTTTGATGGTGGATGAGTCTGCAGATGTTTCTACTAAAGAGCAAGTGGCTGTGGTTTTTCGTTTTGTTGATAAAAAGGGGATAGTCAAAGAAAGATTTGTGGGTCTTATTCATGTTCAAGAAACTTCTCCTCCATCTCTAAAAAGTGCTATTGATTCACTGTTTGCAAAACGTGGACTAAGCATGAAAAAGTTAAGAGGACAAGGTTATGATGGAGCTAGTAATATGAAAGGTTAGTTCAATGGGTTGAGATCTCTAATTTTAAGAGAAAACATTTTTGCATATTATGTCCACTGCTTTGCTCATCAGCTTCAGTTGGTTGTCGTTGCAGTTGCTAAAAAACATTTTGAAGTTAGTGATTTTTTGATAAGATTTCTGTCTTGTTAAATGTGGTTGGAGCTTCTTGTAAGAGACAAGATATGATTCGAGAAGACCAACGTAAAATACTCGAGGAAGGAGTTAGTCAGGGTGAGATTAAGACATGAAAAAGATTAAATCAGGAACGTTCAGTTCAAAGACCTGGTAATACTCGTTGGGGTTTGCACTACAACACTTTATTGAGATTGGTTGATTTATTCACTTCCATTGTTAAAGTGTTGGAGCATGTCGAAAGACAAGGGTCAGATGGTAGCAAAAGTTGTCAAGCTAATGGTCTCCTCAAATACTTCCACACGTTTGACTTTGTGTTCTACTTACAGTTTATGTTACTTCTTCTTGGTCTCACAAATAATCTATCACTGGCTTTACAAAGGAAAGATCAGGATATCTTGAATGCAATGTCTTTAGTGAAATCTACCAAGCAACAGTTGTACAACCTGAGGGATAATGGATGGGATTCAATCATTAGAAAGGTGAACCTCTTTTGCGAGAAAAATAAAACATAGTTGCTCAATATGGAAGAAGAATTTGTTAATCCAAAGAGGCCAAGACAGAGAAGCAACATAACAAACTTGCATCATTATCAAGTTGAATGTTTTTACACAGTATTGGATATGCAAATTCAAGAGTTTAATGATCGTTTTGATGAGATAAACACTGAGCTGCTTGGTTGCACTGCATCTTTGAGCCCCATTGATTCATTCCACCAGTTTGATCAGGCAAAACTTGTAAGATTATCAGAGTTTTATCCTGAAGATTTTAGTTCTGTGGAACGGATATCTCTTCAGCATCAACTTGGTATTTACATTGATAACATCTCTCAAGATCAACGGTTTGCCAATTTGAAGGGTCTTGGAGATCTTGCACGTGTGATGGTGGAGACCAAAAAACATCTTTCACATCCTCTTGTTTATCGACTTTTGAAACTAGTTTTGACTTTGTCTGTTGCTACTGCTACTGTCGAGAGATCATTTTCTGCGATGAAAATTGTGAAGACTACTTTACGCAACCGAATGGGTGAAGAATTTTTGAATGCTTGTATGGTTTGTTATACTGAAAAGGATCATTTTGACAAAGTGACAAATGAAGTAGTGATAAAAAGATTTCAAGATATGGGAGAGCGAAGAATGACTTTATGAGATTTTTGTATTACTTTTATTTTATCAGAGATTTTTTTTATTTTTAATTACTATTTTAGTTTGATTTTAATTTTTAAATTATATATCATACATTTAATAGATATGTTTTATTTATTATTATAAAAAAATATGTGCCACAGTCTATTTAGATTTCTCGGTCCGCCCCTGATCAAGCTAAAAGCTTTTAGAAATAAATAATTTCATACTATTTAGCATAAGTATCTAATTAGATAAAAAAAAAATAGTTAAAAAATTGGATAATTAATATTAACATATATGATTTATTTTGACAAAGTAAAGAATAAGTAAAAATTATGGACCAGTTTGTTGTCCAGAAAAAATAAAAAATTTATAGCAATATTGTTATTTCTTCATTTTGAAACAAGACATAAAGTAGAGTTGAAATAAAAATTCTTTCAAAGTAAAAAAAAAAAATATGAAGTCGAATTGGAGATGGTCTTACATATGAAAATGAAACGACGAAAATATGACCACGATAAAAATGATAAACAAAATGGATACAACATCTATAACAATGATGTATGCAGTTTTGTAGTCACTTTTGTGGGCATGAAAACTTAGTTTAGTATTGTAAAGCTTGAAAAGTTGAATAGATAATTCAAGAAGATGGAAAAATAAGTGTAAGAAATTATAAGATAAACTGTAGAAAATTTGAAAAATTAGTCAAAATACATTTGTAAGGATAATGGTATTGATATTATTGGAACCCATGATGTGTGTAACCTTTCCCACGTGTAGAAATATTGATACCAAAAATAACCACAACCTGACACATTTATGAACTAGAAGCACAAAAGAAAGCAAAGAAACTCACGAATGAGAAATATTCCTAACATGCATGTCTTGATCACCACCTTCTATTTAGTACCACACTCTCCTCCAATTTCTCATTTCATCTCTCTAACCTGAGTTGACACAAACACAATTAGTTTTCACTTTCTCAGGGAGATATATAAAAGGGAAAGTATCAATGAATAGAATTATATAGTGGATGAAAAATATCAAGCCAATGATCCATGTATAGTGATCAGAACCGGCTATGAAATGCCATTCATATATGTCAAAAGAGTAGAGTATAAATGTTAGTCAACAGTGTTGTCTGGATTAACACTAATAGCAAATAGAAATGTTGTTAGACAACAGCGTTTGAATAGAAATAACGTTAAAATAACGGTGTTGTCTGGATTAACACTAATAACAAAGAATGAGCAGAATATAAGCAAATGACAAGGAGAAATATATCATTTTAATGTAATATAACAGCAAACGCTAATGATTTTGTAGAGATATTATTATCCATAAGAAATAGTGTCGGTTGGGTTATTTCATGAGAAACAAATTGAAGTTTATGAAAGTTGGTTCGTATATGTTGTATGTGGCGGATTTTCAATCACCAAAAAACAACCAGGACCTTGGCACAACGTTTCTTTGTGTTGACATCCAAGTATGTGATAATTGTGTTACTCAATTAAATTAAGAAAAAGTCTTTATAAATGATTATAATATATAATTTTTTTATAATATATAATTTGTAAATAGGGGGACACATATAAATGAAGTTTTGCTAAGAGCATTCACAACCGTGAGACTCATAAGAGTTCTTAAGAAAAAAAACATTTCGGATTTGGTAAGGATATTTCGGATTTTTTTTTTTATAAATGACAATTCCCGGGCTGTTAAATATCCTGGAGATCTGCAGATAGTGTAAGGATTCGTTAAGAAATAGTTCTTATTTAAGGATTTTAAGCATCGAATCCTTAACTTTTTTGTGGAATCTCTTAATTATTTAAATATTTTTTCCTAAGAACTTTCCCTAAAGGATTCCTATTGCAGATGCTCTAAGTCCCTTCCGAAAAACAGCTCAAATCTTGGAAGAAGATGGAATATATAAATTTCAATATTTTACACTTCTAGAAAACAGTCAATGCTACAAGTTCACTATTCAACAACATCTCCAAATCAACACATCAACAACTATTATACGCATAAAAGATAATATAACCTCAATAATTTCTAAAAATAACACAAATATTGTTTAATAATTAGAATGTCAAATTCGTGACAGAAATTAGAATGTCAAATAACTATTACTTAGTCATGTCTTTTATCTGGTTTTTAAGTGATAAGTTTTTAAAATATTGCGGATGCTCTAAGTCGCTTCCAGAAAACAGCTCAAATCTTGGAAGAAGACGGAGATATCAACTTCAATATTTTACACTTCTAGAAAACAGTCAATGCTACAAGTTCACTATTCAACAACATCATCCAAATCAACACATCAACAACTATTATACGCATAAAAGATAATATAACCTCAATAATTTCTAAAAATAACACAAATATTGTTTAATAATTAAAATGTCAAATTCGTGACAAAAATTAGAATGTCAAATAACTATTACTTAGTCATGTCTTTTATCTGGTTATTTAGTTTAGTAGTTTCTTTTTATGTAAGTGATAAGTTTTTAAAATATTTTTAAAAATGAAAAAAAAATCCATGATTTGAAAGATTAATTACAAAATGAGCTATATTTCTAAACTATATAATTATTATATTTATTTTAATATTGTCTAACATTATTATTTTTTATATTACTACAGAAAAACTAATACTCCCCACAACATCAAGAACTCGCTTCTACTTTGACACTTCTATTTATTTCATACAAAGGTTCACCCAGAGAAGTAAAGTGAATAATCAGTCATGAAGTGGTTAAGTTGCTTTGATCTAATGTCGTTAAAAATATGTTTTCCTAGAGTCCTCTTCTATAAACAACATTGTACTTTCTTAATATTTTATGGTTTAATCCTTCGATTTTCACTTCCAACATTTACGTTCATAATACCATTTTATTCGGAAAGTAATTTGAACGCAAACAATGATCTAGTAAGGCTCATTGTGAATTTTGAATAACAATGCATACATAACTAAAAGGATCTTAGAAATATGACGATAAAAGATGATGATGATGCGCTCCATTTGTCAGCTTCCATTGGATCATACATAAACTTCTCAGCCATTTGATTCAAAGTTGTTAATTCTTTGTTTTTATAATCATCAATCATCTTAGAGAAAATGGTTTTCATACGTAAAAACTGCATAGATAAATACTATCCTGCATAAAAACTGCATAGATAAAAACTGCATAAAAACTGCATAGATAAATGGTTTTCAGACATATGTGTTAATTAAGAGAGAGGTGAGAGAAAAGTTCTCTCTTCTCTTTCTTCCCCTACTCTCTTTTTTTCTCGCCGTCTCCTTCGTGATACTTGTTCGGTGACTGGCGGTTCCCCATCCGTCCGTCGGTCGCCACCCCCACATCTTGTTTGGTTTCTTCGCCTTCTATCCTGCAGCTGTTTCAACCTTTCCCTCTCCTCTTTGCTCGACGTCTCTGGTTTGTCGTGGGATTGCGGCCGGATCCGGCGGCTCAAATCAGTTGCAAGGGTGTGTGCTCAAATCAGTTGCAAGGGTGTGTGCTCGGCTTCTCTGGAGCGTTGGCGAGGTGATGGGGGGTCTCGATTCCTCAGGAAGCATCGCTATGGAAGTAGATCTGAGATTTGATGTGATGGATCTTGGTCAGGTACATCTTGGAATGCTCGCCGGAGAATGCTTAGCGTCGCTGCCTATGCTCTCTGGTTTGTTCTCCGCCTCTTTTCAGCTCTTTCTCTCCGCCGGCGATTGCATTTTCAGAACTTCCCTTCTAGATCTTCGGATCTGAGTCGATTCGGTTGAATGGAGGCTTTCGCCTGGGACTTCCGTGGTAGGTTTCCTTACTGATTAGCTTACCGGCTATGCTTGTGTTTGTTGTTTGGGGCAACTGCTCTTCTGTTCTTCAAATTTCCAGAAGGGAGTTCACTGTCGCACGTCCTACCCTCTCCGTGGTTTTGAAGTGAAATCCTTACCAGTGTCTTTAGTGGAGAGGGACCGGAGTCAGGAGCCAAAAACCTCCGCTTGCTCTCGCTAGAAACACCCAGCGCCTACATCGCTCACTTATTCTCCTGGTAAGGGATTCTCAGGACGCCGTCTAGTTAGCTTCCGGAGTATACATCGTCTGGAGTGGACCTCTCCGTATGTGATGACCGAACCAGGACTTAGTCGCCCCTGCTTCGCTTGTCCGCCTTTGGGGTCGCCTTCAGGACAATCTGCGGGTCCTCAGAGTGTTCTCCGGCTGTTCTTCTCCTCTGTTCTTCGTTCTTGTTGCAGGTTCCGGAGACAAGGTTCAACAAGGGTCTACTGGAAATTCATAGCAGTAAATGTTACTTGTTTAGCTAAGCTTTA